TGACATTAGTGGAAGGACAAAGTATTTGAAAGTAATAAAAGATGCTTTGCAAAGTTTAACATTTTACTGGATTGTCAACATTGTTTCATTAGGGGAAAATTTTTCCTTAATATTATTTTAACATTCTTTGAAGAGGTTACTGCTTATGTAGATAAGGATAAGAGTGCAGATTTGCTGTATATGGATTTGGAGAAAGCATTTGACAAGGTGCCATATAAAATACTTGTTTGATAGAAAAATGGCTGGATGGAAGAACACAGAGGGTTGTTACAAATGTCAAACTGGATTGATTTCATAAGTGTGGTACCTCAAGACTCATTGTTAGTACTTTTTTTTTATTATTTACATCTGTGACAAAGAATAATCAATAAATTGCTTAAATTTGTTGATGATATTAAGGTTTTTGGTGTTGCTGACTGAGAGGATGTTGCTGCTGCTTTTAAAAAGGATTTCAATTCTTTGGTGAGTTAGGTGAATAAATGAGAAATGAGTTTTAATCATAATAAATGCAAGGTAATGCATGTGGGTTATCAGAATTTAAATTAAAATTTTGATGGAAATAACCTTAATAATTATGAAGGAAAATGATCTTAAAGCTCTGATTGATCAGTCACCTAATCCATCCAACTAGAGTACTGTTTCTAGTGATAGAGCAAATAGTATTTTATACTGACTGAAATCTTTAATATAATTCTACAAATGTTATAATTTCATTGTATAAATCACTAATTCAGCCTCATTTGGAGTATCGTGTTGAGTCTTTAGCTACTTACCATAGGAAGAACATTGAATTGTTGAAAAGGGTTCAGAGGAGGGTTTTTAGGATGATACCTGGGATGGAAAGACTGTCATATGAGGACAGGTTAAGATCTCTGAAATTGTTTACTCTTGAAAATAGGAGAGCTAGGGGGGATCTGATTGAGGCTTTTAAAATTGTTAAGGGAATTTATTGTGTTGACGTATCATCACTTTTTATGACTAGGAGATACAGATATAAATTTGAAGATAAAAATGCAAGAAATAGTGTATCAGTTTTAGAAGAAAAAAATTTAATTAGAAAGAAGCTGAAGCTTTTGCTAAGAAATGGGGAGTAGATACCAATTTGTGAGTAACAGTTTACATCTCCACTGTAGACAGAAACTACACATAGTTGACTTTTTTTGAGACTGTGAATATTGTGAATGGATGGTTCCATTGTACATTTCTTAGTTGTTATGGCCCTGAATGATAGTGATTGATAGAGCTGGGCATTTAGTGGTAGTTGTTAAGGTCCCTAAATATTTAACAATCCTGGATGAGAATGAGCATACAACTTGTGTTTTACATATGTAGGTATAGTATCCAACTGAATTAGAGGATATCCCAGCACAACTGATAGCTTATGAGGCATGTATAGGAGATAATTTAAAGTCAGAACACACATTCAGAGAAGCCTTACAGTGTTGGTTCAAGCATTTTTCTTAAGTGGGCCAAATCCCCCACTGACTTCACAAGTCATAAAAGTATAACAGGATCAAGTAACTTTTATTTGAAGAAACCGTAAATTGAATCATTGCAAATTGTTTCATTTGTGTATGTACTGAAACTATGGTAAATTGTGGTATGTATGTAGTGTTTTTTAAAATAAATATCTTGAAACTTTTCAATTATTCTTTTATTGTAGATCACCTCTTCAGATTACAATCCAACACAGCCAATCACATTCCTTTGCATATCCAACTGAGCTAATTACTGTTTGGAATTTTCTGGTTACAATCACAATCTATCATTACGAAGTCATTCATAATACATTTTGAAGAGTGGGTGCACACCAAAATTAAAATGCATATTTCTTTTTTATTTATTTTTTCATGAACTAGTATGCAGGCAAATGATTATTTTGCACCACTGGCTATCAAAATAGCATAAATATGCAAAGTATGCATCCTAGAATCAACACTGCCTAACAGTTTTTGCTAGAAAATGATGCCTTACTCCCAAGCTTTCTGGAAATGTGATCACTGCATTTCTAACTCTTCATGTAACTATTAAATCAAAATTGCTCATAATAAAACTTTTCACGCACTTCTATGAGTCAGGAGCAACTTCTTGGACTAGCTTTTATGAACAAAGAAATCCAAACTGCATCACAAATGAACATTGATGACAAACATGGAGACAAAGTGTGAAAAAAGCATTTCAAAATATAGCTCAGTATGGAATGGAAGCTCTTTGTTATGTCTTTAGTATTGCAACAATTTGTATGAACAGTTTTGGACTACCAGAATACTCAAAGTCATTATAATTTGAAACATTTTGATTTTATATTAAACTTCTTTGGATGTCAATGTACCATCTGTTATTTTGATTATTATATTATGGAAGAGGGCCCCTTAATAATTCTTCTTTAGGATCCCTATGCTCATTGTTATGGTCCTAATTGATGGATGTGTGTGATTGACAGAGCAGGGCATTTAGTGGTATTTTCTAGGGTCACTAAGCATGTTGTTATGAGCCTGATTAATGAGGGAGTGATTGATATAAGTATAATTTGGATGGGAATAACCATAACAAGGTCATAAAAGAAGGAGATCATGGTGTAATGGTTGATCAGTCTCTTAAGCCATCCAAGCAGTGTGTTGTTGCTAGTGGTAAGGCAAATAGGATTTTAGATTGTATGTACAGACATATTGAATTCAAGTCTAAAGAAACTATAATTTCATTGTTTAGGTCACTGGTTAGGCCACATTTGGAGTACTGTGTTCAGTCTTGGGCTTCTTACTTTAGGAAGGACATTGAATTGTTGGAAAGGGTTTAGAGGAGGGTTACTGGGATGGAGGAGTTGTCATAAGAAGAGAGATTGAAATTTCTCAAATTGTTTTCTCTTGAAAAAAATAAAAGTTGAGGAGATCTGATTCAGATGTTTAAGATTGTAAAGGAATTAATAGTATTTATGCATTTATGTATTTTACACAAAAGTGAGAATAGTAGGACTAGGAGATACAATTATAAATTTTGGCAAGGTATGAGTCATCTTCAACTGAGACAGTTTTATTTTCTAACATGGTGGTTGTCCTTTGGAATGGATTGCCTTCAGATGTTGTAAAGGCAGTAAATTTAAGTGAGTTTAACAGGAAGATTGATAACTATATGAATGATAAGGGCTGGCTTTAAGGTTGTTTTAAATTTTAATTATTAATATTCTTTCAGTTTAGTTTTGAGGATGGGACAGCTGAGATGGACCATTAGGTCCCATGTTGCCCCAAAACATTGTTTCATATATTATGTTTAGAGCTGGGCATTTAGCAATGTTTGCTAGGGTCCCTTGGCACCGTGTTATTTATAGCTCTGATTCATGGGTGGGGTGGTTGATAGAGCTGAATTTTTAGTGATATTTGCTATCATCTCTAGGCATATTGTTATGGCCATGACTGATTAGCGGGAGTGATTGATAGAGTTAGACATTTAGCTCATCTGTTAGTTAGCTTATATTGTGTGATTGTTAAAGTAAGTTTTATTACAAGTGATAGCTTTGACAAGTTTGCTTACGTAGCTGCTTATGAAACATTTGTTGTGAGTTGACATCATGTTATTCAAACCTTCTGAATTTTTCTCGTTGCTTTAAGTGAGTATTGTTACATCATAACATCTCGTAGTTTTTAGAAAGTTCTAGGCCTCAGTCGGGCAACATATATACACATGTAGGCGACCAAGTTAAATGAAAGTAAGACAAAGTTAGAAGAATAGATCTAGACTGTGTTTGTAAGTTTAACCATAAAGAGTGTATAGTGGCAACTTTTAAAGTGAAATTACCACAGACTGTATTGTAATAACAGGGTAGAGAAGAATAATTAATCTTGTCAATTGGGTTCTAAACTAACTGAACCAGCTGAACTCTTGATGAAAAAGAGGCAATTATTTAAAGCTTTGGATACAACTGGTGTGATTAATTGTGTAACAAACATTTGCCTTGTTTTGATTATATTATTTTAAAACAAATGGATTGTGTGCTGTTTGTTTATTCTTGAAATTTATCACCAACAAGTCACAGTAACCTACTGTAAAGAATTCTGCCCACACACGTACATAAAAACCTGACAATGGGGTGTTGCCAGCTAGTTGCCTTCCCTCTAGTCAGCAATTCAAAATTAGAGACAATAACAGATAGCCTTAGTAGCTTGCCATAGCAAAAACAGGGTGAGTGAAATCCTCAAATTATGACCCACTCCCCTCCTCTGAATAAGCTGAAGAAACTTAGTGAAAAAAAAAAGTCTTCTTGCTTTTTGCTTAACAACAAAAAACATAATAGCAATATTTCAATTATTTATATAGTTGGAATAATCAAAAGTGTTAGTAATTGGAAACCTAAATTTCAATTAATCGATTAGTTTATGTGACATAATCAATGTACTCACTGCTCATAGGTACTAAATTATATTGATTAATTAATTAAACTACTCAGTTGTAGTGATTGATATTATTTTATAACATTAGTGTTGCATGTTATAGCTTTAACAATAAACTTTCTGATTATACTTTATTTGTTTTTTAATTTGTAGCTCATAAGTTTGTAAAAGCTGGTGCCCCAGAGTGAGTATGGAAGGATTTTACAACCGATAGTGACAGGTTTGACAATGTTACAAATAACTGTAATAATGTATTTGTAAAGCATAGAACAAGTAATGCTTTTTTCATCAGACTTTGGATTTTGGAGCTGGAGAGCCGAAGTCAAATCCTTATGATACAACAAAATATTTGTTACACTTTAAGGTAGGGTACTGTTGACTGGCTGTCTTCCCTTTGATCAGTAATTTGAAATGAGGAACAAAGCAATTATCCTGAATTGCTTTGCCATAAAATATTTAATTTTATGTGCAAATTCCTTGAGAATTGTTTAAAACTCGTATGAGTAAAGGAACCAAGAAAATATGTGAAGTTTTATAAAATTATATTCCATTAATTAAAACTTGGAGCTTGCAGTGCAAGTTTATAAGTACTGTGTTTTTTGTTTATTTCTATAGGCTTTGTAGAAATATGCATGATGCATCCACTAGATGTCATTAAAACAAGATTCCAAATTCAGAGAGGAGCAGATGATCCAAGTCGATATACCTCAATATTTGATGCCTTTAAAAAGATGTTTAGGAATGAAGGGTATGAGTTTTATTTTGTTTGTTTTATCTTTTAAACAGATCATATGCATTAATAATTCAAAGCACAATGTGATATAATATAAAAGTTAACTTAGGCACTTTTTCCTTTAATCTTTATTACTGATTTTGATTTTTACATATGAAAACAAAATCCTTGAGAATAAATATAAAATGGAAGCATAATAAATTAACTTGTGTTATAATCATATACAGTAGTTTCATTAAGCAGAAAAATCAAAAGTTTCACATTTTTGCAATTTGCATTTACAATATGTGAGAGAGCAGTGGCTGGAGTGGGGTAGTCCACTTAGTATGGCATTATACCCATACATGTGTAGATTATTTTGCATTGCCACCATGAAACAGTGCAGTGGGGGGTGGGCTAAGTTTTTTCTATTAACTTCACATTTGACCATATTCATGTAAATATACAATTATGCTTCAAGATGTATTTAGTTACAGTGTAATTGTTCAAAACAAATATTGATGTGAACCTTGTAAATGTAGCAGTTTTTGTATCCTTTTCAAGACTAAAATAATTGTGTTGTATCTTATTTTGTGCAAAGTTCACTAAAAAATAGGATGTTCCCAAAGAACAAGAAGTTGATCAAACATATTTATAAATTATGAATAGTATATCTACGATATGCCAATATTATTTTTTGTCAAATATCCCATGTAAGTGTACATGCAGTGTGAAATCATAGCCCAAAATTTGTAATTTTTAAAGACAACAAAGTAGTGTAGAGTATTCTTTTAGCTGTAAATTTACAAAAAAGTCTAAATAATAATTTGTTATGTGTAACAACTTGATATATTCTGGACTAAATAGGAAATTATCATAGAATCATTAAGTGGACTAGTTTTAAAGGTGGAAAATATAAGATCTTTATCCCAAGAATTTTTATTATGAGGCAGATTGGTTGTCACCTACAGTATATCAATGCATTTGGCCCTTCACACTATTCCATGGAATGTACTCATGCTGATTACTCTCATAATAAAAAAGAAAGTTCATTCATAGATTTTCCATATGTCACTTTAAGTGCTTATCTAATATTTTTATTATTTCTCCTAGTTGTGCATGTAGCAACCTGAAGTAGGTGAAAAGTGATCTGTCCTAATCTTGACTTAAATCCAGGACTTCTGATTTCTGTAGGTACTGATTTCTTGAGATTCATGTGTTATAAGGGCATCAGTGTCCAAACACATAGCTCCTAAACCAAACAGTATGATTTTATATATAATTTTATATTTGTGGCAAATATTTTAAGTTTGTATATTCATATTTCGGATTTTTTTTTAGCCCATTGTCATTCTACAAAGGAATATTGCCACCCATATTGGCAGAAACTCCTAAACGAGCTGTAAAGGTATGAGGAAAGAACTTTGTTTAATCATTGTTTTGCCTATAAATATTTAGTTTTATTGACTTGCAAATAGCAATTTTCCTACCAACTAATGTGGTGCATAAAGTTAATTTAAAGGAGTTTAAGGGTAAGCTGGATAAATATTCGAATGAAGTTTTTCTTTTGAGGGTTTAGTTTAATTTAGTGGACATGACAGCTTATATGGACCAAAAGGTCCTTTGTTGTCCTTTAACCTATATTACTTATAGAGATTTGAAAGCATTGTTCCGATATTGTACACTATTTCTTCTTACATAAATAGCTATTCTTGTTCAGTGCTGCCCTCTATATGCACAAACAAATTACATGCCACAAACTTTCTATCTCCCATCCATTGGAATTGATTGATTCCAATGTGTCTTTCATGCAAATTATCATGAGTCAACTCTCCACCAGTAGGAGTGTGACACTCTCATGACACATGTGACTCCCTCTATTACATTTTACCTAACTATCACTTTTTGTTTCGCAATTCTCGTGTTCAGACGTTTTTTGCTTTTTATGTGCTTTGCACTCAAAATAGTTTTAATTCCAAAGTGGGATTTCTTCATTAATTTTTTGTTGTATTGAAGATGCCTTTTACTTTAACTTAACTCTTTCAACCTGGGCTCAGTCTCTGGAACTGACCTTGTAACCATTTTGTGTTTGTTATAGTTTTCATGCTATAACTTTTAAAGTAGTAAGCAAATGATAATGAACTTTGGCAGTTTATCAGTAA